TCTATAATTGTTCCTGAAACCTTGGAATTCCATAAGAATTGGTTTAGGTTTGTTTTTTCTTCAGGCACGAATTAGATTGTTTAGTGAGGAAGGAAATTTCCAACCACCTTCAGGTCCATCACCAGGACAAGAGAATTCCATTCTATCTTCCGATCTTGTATAACCTTGAATATTTTCAGTCTCAGGATATATTACTGTCTACCTTTATTTTACTATCAAATACACCAGGTTCTAAATTCCAGCTGCCTTTTCTTCTTAGCAATGTTTTCCAAACCAAGAGACCCTCTATATTTTAAAAATAAAATAAAAAACTCCCTTAATACTTTTATAATGTTAGAAATACTCAATAGTTCTTTTTAAATGAATGTCTAAGCAGTTAGCTTTTGAAGAAATGCTTACTGTCACTTGTGATGCACTTCTTTTTAGATGCTGAGCTTATCACGGGTGAAGACTGTTTCTAACTGAATCAGAGTTCTCTTTAAGTATAGAGCTGCTGCCTACACATTGTACCCAGCAAACACGACATGGTGCCAAAACATTTAAAAACAAACTTTCAAAAGAAGCAAGTAGTACAATATGGTGCTTGGAGCGGATTGCGTCGAGACTCCTGGATTCTAGATCAGACTCTAACTCCAACATGCTATGTAGCCTTGAGGAAGTCACTTAAGTTCTCTGGCCCAGATCCTCAAAGGGATTTAGGCTCATAACTTCTACTGAAATAGCTTTCTGAGGATAGGAGTCTCTGTGCTGAAGTTTACCAAGCTGCAAAATGGAAAGAATACCTCCTGTGCTTACCTCACAGAGGTGTTGAGAGGCTTAAATTGTTGTTAAGTACTCAGGTTTAGAGACGGACTGTGCTCCAGTGCAGAATCTAGGGACATTTTAAACTTTATCTAATAATAAGTTTGTAAAAGTAGCATTTCCAACAACTGTCTTAAGTCTTCAAAGGGCATCATATTAAGAGAAGGTTTAATATAAGGTGCTAATTCTTCTGAGTCATCCGTAATAAATTTGATCCTAACTGCTTTTCTTTATGAAGTTGACAGATGTTGTGTTTTTGTTTTTTCTAAATGTTCTTCCTGTCAGATTTGCTTTCTTGACACTAGGAGAGATGAACTAAAGAGCAATTACTTTAGAGCTCAAACTGACGTTAATGAAAGTTTAATCTGCCCTCTCCCTACAAGTGATAGAAGTTTCTAAATCAATAGCATCCTGGGGATGGTGAATTTGAGTTTCACATAAAATAATGGTTTGGGTCACTTCTGAGGTAATACTGGCTGCAAGTAATTTCCTCATAATTCATTGGTGAAGTCAGTATGTAGCATGTCATTAAAAGCTTTACGAAATTACAGGTCTGTCGCATCTTATGCACATTTAACATGCGTAATTTCAGTTTTACGCGGTCGGCAAAAACAAAACAAACGAACAAAAAAAGAGAAAAATAACAATTTTAATACTGTACCTGTAGTGCGGGCGATTCTGCCCGCCATTGAACTCAATGTAATTTTGACTATATGCGGTTTTCGCTTTACGCGCTGACCGCGGAACGTAACCCCAGCGTAAGATGAGACAGATCTGTATATCCCTACAGTGAGCAGAAAGAGATCAAGAAAAATGTTTTATCTGTCTAATCTGTGGTAGGTATTTATAGGGTGCCTATCTGTAGTATCTAATATAATAGTCAGAAAAGCATTTGGAAATGAGCTCTACTCTTATTGTTGTCCTAGATATTTGTGCTTTTAACTCTGTTGGTTTCTTTTTCTCTTGGTATTTCCATTCCTATCATGAGCTGATGCTTATGGGTGGCTTCCACAAGGCTCATGGCACTATCCTTTTGCAATAGTCAAGTCACTCAAACAGTGAGTTTTAGGTCCCTCTTTCCCGTTGCAGAGATAAGATCCCTTGGGGTTGCATATATGTAATGCAACAATGCCCTTAATCTAGCTACTAAATGCATCTTTATTTTTGAATCCCTCTCACCCACCCTCCGAGAAATGTGCAGCTCTATCCTGGAGATTCACTGGAGAATCTTAGCTTGAATGGGAGTTCCCAAAAGTTGCATTTTCTTCTCACCATATGTCACTGAGTGACTGGACCCAGCCTCACCTGTGACTGATCAGTTACCTCCAAGCTGAGGTTGTGAGGTTAGGGGTCAGGTGATAGTCCGACAAAGGGGTCTTATGAAGCCAGCAATAACTCTGCTGACCTGGAGAGTTGTAAAGAAGCTCTGGCATGGTGGAACTAGGGTGCTGGGGGTGCTGCCACACCCCTTGGCTTGAAGTAGTAACAACAAACACATGGTTTCCATCATCAGCACCCCCACTATAAAAATTGTTCCAGCACCCCTGCTTGCCTGAGTTCTTGGATTAGGGCAAGGACCCAAAGAGGATGAGAGAGGAGAAGAAAAAGCCTCTGGGAATTGTAGCCCCTGGGGGCAGAGGAAATAATTTTGCCTAAGATTTGGTCCAATCAATAAATTGTGCCCTAAGGCAAGGGCACGGAAACAGACTATATGGCATAGAATTGCTTCCTCCTGGACTGGTGCAGCAGCCCCATTGCTTGCACTATTTCTATACCTGAAGCTACTCACGGCTCTATTGCAGAAGCTGCAGATATCTTAACTCTGTATGTTTCTATAGCTGTGGATGTGGCTGCCCTATTTTTCAAGGAGACGCTCCCTTTTGGGGAAAGACTAAATGAAACCTGTCTCTGGCATATTTATCTGGAAGATTTTCATGCTCTTCACCCAAAGCCTCTGAGCTCCTCAGAAATCATTGATTTAGTCTCAGTATTTCTGTGGGAAATTTGTGGGAGAGCTGGGAAAAGAACCCACTTTTCCCAAGTCCCAGTCCAGAGCTTTAGCCACAAGATCACATTCTTTCTCATGTAATAGATGTAACTGCACCTAGCAAATGAGGACAATGCAGTGTGTCCCTCCTCAGAATGGTTTTGTTTTGCATGCATTACATCACCTTCCTCCTGTGTTTCTTTCTAAATTGTGGGAGTTTTGTGTGAGTGAGAGCTAGGAAAATAAGACACAGACACTTCTATAACTCGAAACAGTTGAGGAAGGGGCTGCCCAGCACTGACCACAGTGTTGCAAACCCCAGAATGGAGATGGCAGCATGGCTTTGGTCTTTCTCTTCCTTATGTACAGACTGGTTAGTGGACGCAGGGCAGCACGCCAACAGTATAGATGTAGCAACGGTGCGTATATGCACTCTCCCCTCATGCTTCTGGGGTATTATGTCTGCCCCTGCACTGTGCAGTTACAATGCCCTCAGCACCCCCAAGCAGATAGGGCTGCTCCTTCCTTCCCCACTCCAAGCATGAGGCATAAATTCACATATTTCAAGGCTAGAATGGACCCATATGATCACCTGACCTCCTGAATAATACAGGACACAAACTTTCATCCAGTGTAGTATTTAAAAATCATGAGTCACCCCACACCACCAATAATATTGTCTTAAAGTTCATGAGGCATGCTTTTTTTTCCAAATAAAACAAATCTGAGGTTCTCTTTGCTAGCCTGCTAGAGCCTTTGAGCCTTTAGGGTGCACTGCTTCACATTTTCAAGCTTTTCTTTGTAAACATGAAGGCTGGAAACTTTTTTTTAAATGAAAGTTTTAAATGCAGGCTCTTGACTCTAGCAGACAGGGCTTTAAGAAAGCTGCCAAATACTGAGACACTCTCAGTAAAATTGAGCATTGGCAGAACTACAGTGGATTCATGGTTCTGGCTCGTAGACCCATCTATGTGTGGTGGTGTCCTTAGGCCCGTGAATATGGATTATTTCACTCAATATTCTTTGCATAAATGAACTATTGATCATTGATGGAGAGGGGCCACAACTGAAACCTTTCAGGTGAGGTGTGTGTGTGTGTGTGTGTATAAAATAGATGCATTGGACGTACTTTCAACTATCCATTTTAAAAAAAAACCTTTGTATATCTGGAATTTGAAATGTGTTTTCTGCAAGTGAGGCTGTTTCCTTCACTCACTGAGCTCTGATAATGTGAGCTCTGATAATCTGAATTCCTCTGGTCCCATGGGATTCTGTATAGGGTGGGAGATCAAGCAGTCACAGGTATTGCGCAACGCATGTGATATTAAACGACCTCAAAAAGGCATTAGGCCGCCATCTGGCTCACAACATACAGCAGGAGCTCCAGGATCCTAATCAGATCATTTCTATTTTTGGGACAAGCAGAGACCCCTGGAATTTCTGGGACTCAATAAATGGAAAAGATAAAAAGTAATATTTACTTCTAACTTCCCCCTCTGGTGCCAGTGATATTTTACAAATAGAAGGTATTTAACATGAAGGTTTAAAAAAAATCTGTTAACTTCTGAATGATCAGTGTGCTTTTTACTGGTGTATTAAAAGGACCGATGATTACAGAGTATTTCATTCAAAAATCCTAAATCACTAGTCACACTACAGAACCATCCCAACCTTTTCTTCCAGTGAAAAGATAAGGGTTAACACATCTTGTGTGTGTGTATTTAAACAATAGACACATCACCCTGCCATGGATCAAAGGTCAAAGCTGGGTGTAGCCAGTACAATATAATGGTGCTTTTTAATTACTCCAAGTAACTTGCACATACATGAAACGATCACCATATTTGGGCTGTTGAATGAGACTAGACATGTATCTGTGCCTAAAGTTGCTGGTGATAATAGAATAACTTTTAGTGGCATAATATGTCTATTTTATTGGGAAATCCATTGTGCTAAAACATGGAATTATGGCATAACGTGGTAGTACTGAGAGCAGTGTGTGTGTGTACAGCAGGGGGCTGGCTGTTCATGATTAGGACCTCTGGGGGCTACTGCAGTGAGGGATGTGTGGTGGGGCGGGGTGTATTTAAGTGCCCTGTCTTCAATCATTTTTGTTCATTCTTTTTCTGTTAGATTCATTTATGTAAATAAATCTTACTGACTGTAGTTAAAGTACTGTATACCTGGTCTGTCATTGGAGACCCTGGCCACAATGTTGAAAATACTGTCATCTAGTATCTGTGTGTTTTTTATCAACGCCTATACGAGAAGTGTAAAGTAGGGGAAAGGCCAGGGAATCTTGTTAAGGCAGCAGACAAAGACTCAGGAGTAGGCCACATTGACAATTTTCAACAAAAAACACATATTCATTTAAACTGAAACTGTTCATGAAACCAGCTCAGTTCGGATGAATCTCCCAACTCAATTCCCCCCCCCCCAAACAAATTATCAATATTTTTAGTTTCAAGACTTTCAAACAAAGAAAACATGGTTTCCCGGTGCTTCAAACCACTTTGTTTCAAAATGTACGCTAATTAGACTAAACGTTAATAAAAAAGAGGTCAGCATCACAAGACATTTCAAAAGTACCAAAATGAAACATTTAGGATTGATCCAAACTGAAACAAAAAACATTGGGTTTTTGGTTCATGAAAATTTTTGAGATTTCAATTTTTTGTACCAAATTGCACCAGAAAAGTGGGATGAGAAAGTCATTTCCCCTCCAGCGCTTATCATGAGATTAAGATCCTAGCTCTGTCACAGACTGCTTCTGAGACATTGGGCAATTCCATCTGTGTGCACAGTTTACCCTCCATAAAATGGGATACCGCTACTTTCTTTGTCTATCTTGTCTATTTAGATTGTAAGTTCTTCAGGACCGGGACTGTCTCATACAACGTGTTTATGCATTACCCAATGCAATGGGGCCCTGACCTTTGTTAGGGCTGCTAATTGCTACAGTAATACAAATAGTTAATAGTTGGAAATATAATAGTGACACACCATGCATCTTTTTTTCCCCCAGGTGTTTAGAGTGTGGGATATACAGACCCTTTCGCTGCTGCAGATCTTCCACGATAGTCAGGGGAAGGCTGGAGAAATGCAGATCTATGCCATGATATTTGACAATAACCATGGCACGCTTATTACAGGTGTGTAGACATAATTAGTGAATGAGGAACACCTTCCCCCTCATTTTAATTTTTGATATTCCATATTATGAAACATGCTTGCAGAAGGTGATGACAGCATGGCCTGGCAGTGGAGAAAGTTAGATACAGGGGATGTGCAGAAATCTAGGACATGACAGCAATTTCCCACACTTGGCTAATGAGGCATTTACAGATGAAGGCTATTTGGCATCCCTCCATTTGACATGGTGAAGGAGTTTCATTTTATATGTAAAATCTGGTGTTCCTTTTAATTTGTGTATGTATGAGAGGCTTAAGGTGACAGTCACAGAAGATGATCTCTCTCAAGCCAAATTTCCCAAATTTTTGAAAGCTGAGCCCCTCTGCAGGACAATGAAACCAGTTGCACCCTCTTTCAGCCCTGCCATCTGTTTGTTTAAATCCCTTGAAAGGGATCTCTCCCCATGTCACTGTTCTTCAGAGAATGTTACAACCACAGTCAGTTCCCAAGACACTCGAGTTTAGAGTGTCTTGCCCTCCAGGCTGCTGGGTTAGGAGCAATGTAGGCAGGATCCTGTCAGTCTGGGAGCCAGGAAAAGTGTGTTCTTGCATGAGAACAAGAGCGTCCCCCATGGCCTACACTCTTCCTTTTAAAGGCTCCTGGCTGACATAATGTGGTCCAGCTGCCAGCCCCTCCCTCCTGGCCTGGCAGTTCGAACACACTCTTTGTGATGTGGCAGGTTCTCTTCCCACCTTCCAGGGAAGCTCCCTGCTTTTGCTGGGGGAAGGATGTGAACAACTTATCTTAGAAACAAGGAGGAATGGAAGGCTGCCTATTTCAACATGTTCAACATATTCATAAATTATCTGGAAAAAGGGATAAACAGTGAGGTGGCCAAGTTTGCAGATGATACAAAAATTACTCAAGACAGTTAAATCCTAAGCAGACTGCGAAGAGTTACAAAGGGATGTCACAAAACTGGGTGACTGGGCAACAAAATGTCAGATGAAATTCAGTGTTCATAAATGCAAAGTAATGCACATTGGAAAACATAATCCCAGTTATGCTTACAAAATGATTGGGTCTGAATTAGCAGTTGCAACTCAAGAAAGACATCTTTGATTCATTGTAGATAGTTCTCTGAAAACATCCACTCAATGTGCAGCAGTAGTCAAAAATGCTAACAATGTTAGGAACTGTTAGGTAAAGGATAGATAATAAGATGTTAAATATCATAATGCCACTATATAAAGTTATGCTACACCCATACCTTGAATATTGTGTGCAGTTCTGATGGCCCTATCTCAAAAAAGATATGTTAGAAATGGAGAAGGGCAACAAAAATTATTAAGGGTATGGAACAACTTCCATATGAGGAGAGACTAAAAAGAGTGGCAGTGTTCCGATTAGAAGAGAGACGACTAAGGGGGAGGATATGACAGAGGTCTATACAATCATGATTGGTGTGGGGAAAGTGAATAGGGAAGTATTATTTACCCCTTCTCATAAAACAAGAACCTGGGGTCACCCAATGAAATTAATAGGCAGCAGGTTTAAAACAAAAGTATTTCTTCACAAAATGCACAGTCAATGTGTGGAACTTGATGCCAAGGGATGTTGTGAAGGCCAAAACTATAACTGGATTAAAAAAAGACCTAGATAATTTCATGGAGGATAGGTCCATGAATGGCTATTAGCCAAGATGGTCAGGGATGCAACCCCATGCTCTGGGTGTCTTTAGCCTGTGACTGCCAAATGCTGGGACTAGATGACAGGGGATGGATCACTTGATTGCCCTGGTCTATTCATTCCCTTTGAAGCATCTGGCATTGCCCACTGTCAGAAGATAGAATACTGGGCTCGATGGACCATTGATTTGACCCACTATGGCCATTCTTATATTCTTATTTAAATACTTGGTTCTCTGTATCTCGTCCTCACTGGAAAAAGCCATGTTCTTATCTCGTGTCTGCTAACGTGGTAACTAAGACAAGGTAAAATCCTAGTGAGGACATGTCAATTTGTAGTTTTAACACTTTAGCAGGTTGGAGTAAACCCTAGATTCCTTTATAATCTTTACCTCAAGCTGCTAACATGTAAACACTACAAACTGCCATGTCTTCACTAAGATTTTACCTTGCCTTAGTTAACATGAGGTAAGAACATACACTTTTTTTTTCCTTAAAAAAGACAAAGCCTTGGTGGTGACAGAGTTTCTCACTAACTCTATAGATCTGAATGTTATTTTTTTTTTTTAAAGAAGACAATTGTATTAGAAACAGAACAGTGACCATGGAGCCAACACTCCACTGTCTCTTGGAGAGAAGAAACGTATTTCATATTTCTGCAACTTTGTAATGACAGAAGACAGTGGAGATTCTGACAGTAATCTTAGTGCTTCTGCAGAGCTGGAAATTCACTGCTTATATCTTCTGGACATCTTCTGAACATGTTAGCTAAGAACCCGACAGAATGCTTGCCTCCCATTTTGCACCCAAACAACAATATTCTTAATCCACTATTGATCACTGTAATGGAGATCTATTTTCAGTTTTGTATATGGAAGAAAATAAATAGTTAGGTCCCTTTGTTAAAAGGCTTCAGTTGAGTGATAACAAAATTTGGACTTTAATAAAGAGCCCCAAATTCAGTTCTGTTATATGAGTATAAATCTAGAGTAATTCCAATGAAATCACTGGGAGGTACATGGTATAAATCATAGATGAGTGGCATTTCACCCAGTGTCTTCCTCCCAGCATGCACCCCATGTAGCTGAGTTGGGCACAGGGCATCTGCATGGTGCAGGTATGTGAGGATTCCTCCCTTTCCCAGGCTGTGGAGTGTTATCAGGCCTGATCTACGGTTGCTACTCAAGTCTCCGCATTAGCAATAGTTTGAATGCAGTGGCTGAGGTGAAAGTAGACATATTGGCCCCAGGGAAGAACCCCAGTTTGCTGCAGCCCAGTATTACATGTGTTGTTTTTTTCTTTAAACTTCTGCCATAAGGAGTATTGTTCATATGGGGTGTAGGGGATGGGAAGAGAAGACTTAGTTTTCATCTTAAACCTGTGCAGAATTTGAGATGTAGACAACTATTAAATGTCCATGTAGTCTATTGATTCCCATATTTTACATATATTTGGATCCTATAGTACTTGTCACTTGCACGGTTAATTGGTGGCAGTATTAGGGAATAGCACCTCAAACTACTGACTCCAAACCCGGAGTTTTAACCACAAGACCATGTTGCCAAATTAAACACCTGTTGTGAAAGGGCTGACCCCATTTAGAGTGCACAGACTCTTCCTGCAGTTTGGCTTAGCTAGTAAATCAAACAATGACTCAGTAACATAAAGTGCAGCTGAGCTTCCTCCTAGGTTTGGCTATTTGTAGGGTTTCCCTCCAAAGGGAGGATATCACCACTTGTAACTCAACATCTGAGATAACTGGACCCACCTACCAGCCTGATTTGTCAATTACTTGAGCCTTCTTGAAGGGGGCTTACCACACATGCCTAGGGTGATTCAGCAGAAGAACCCTACGTTCCTGTAAAAGATGATAGTCTGCCTAACCTTTCTGTTTAGTCTGGCATTTGATTGAGTCTCTCAAAGTTTGTGTCATCTTATTCTAAAGGCCAGTGAAACAGTTCCATGTGAAAAGGGTCATTTAAAGTTTTAAATCCTATAGGATTAGCAGATACATAGTTGGATATTTCCTCAGCTGTGAGATGAATTGTCTCAACTCAGACTCCCCAAACTGTTCTACAGTCCATACAAGGCTGATTATGACTAAACACTAGGCCCTGCTAGTGATTCTGTTAAAAGGTAAAATGAATTCCTCCTCATTGCTGGAGAGGGAAAGAGATCCAAGTTATGCCTAGGAGAACTAATCCTTACTGTCATCTACCTGATATGCATTTACATAGAAGGCTTCAGATTTTAATCCTCTGATGTCCATACATCATTATAGATACAAATGTTTATGGATGAGTCCTGCTCTCTATCATGCTCTATTTGCCTATTTTGACAGAAGCACAGTGGTGCTTTCTCTAATATTGCCCCATATGTCTGGAATCATACCCTGCACCTTGCAGACACCTTCTCCTCCTACACATCCACTGCTGAACCTAAGTCCTGTACCAGCTCAATTAGGTTGCAATAAATAAAATGGGAATTTAGATGTGTACACTGCACAAATAGGCGTGTGAGCTTATGCAGTTGAAAACTTTGACCATTATTCAACCTTCTCTCATTTCCCTAGGCCATGGTTCATTTTGACTGTAAATGTTCTGATCAAGGAGATGTAGGTTTTATTTGTCTGCAAAGTGCCATGCGCACCGACAGTGCTGCATAAACCAAGATATTGAAAAGACAGCGTAGCTTACAGATGGATTTGCTTTGTTCTATAGGAAGTGACTTCTGGGATTGCTTTACTCAGTGAGATTGCTATCAGTCAGGATGACATTTATTTGTTCTTCCTACACTGTCCCACTCTGGAACTGTAAATCTCCTAGTTCCTATGGATCTTGGGGCTAGGGTTGCCTCTCCCATAAAAATTGGATAGTTGATTGTCTAAGGCAGCAACATATGATAAATATTCTTATTTAGTGATTGTTTATTATGCTTGGGAGAGGTGACTATTTTCTACTTTTCTTCGGACAGCAGAAATTCTCTAGAACTGGCCAGAAGTGTCTCTTTATATTCTCTTGCTGAATTCAAATCAAACACAATGGTTTATATAGAGTAGATCCATTTCCTCGAATGGCAGTTTGCACAGTCACATAAATGATTAGTACCTCTCTTGCCATGTACAGGGTCATCAGTCATTGATATTTATCCTCTAACCCGGATGATACAAGACACCAAACAGGTTCCACAAACGCATGAAAGAAACATCAACGTACTGGCTTACAACAGGGCTTTTCACCAAGTTCTCACTATCTGTGCTGAATCTATTGTGAAGGTGAGCATAAACTTGCACCCTTTAAACCGGGAGAGAAAAAGAATGTTGCAGTTGCTTTTATCACAGATAAACTGTTGAGCCATTAGGCAAGAGTTAATTGTGTTTGTTATGCAAGCCATCATCTTTGTAGCTATTTTTATGCTGTAACTCTCTAGGGAAGTGGTAATCCATGATAAATAAGCCATTTAACATCAAAGCAGCATTATTTCTATCAGGTGACCCTTTCAGCTGAACTGCAGAATCAATGTAATTAGTCTCCTCTTTCACATTAGGCACCAGAAGGATGGGTGGGGAGGAGGAGGGTCTGGTCTTGATGTGGAACTCCTTTTTCTTCACTTGGGTTTTGTTCCACACTACATCTACAGGAATGGAGCTTTGTATATAAATTTATGAAACAGTGATCATTGGTTATTATGTGGCTACAAAAAGCTATTTAACAGCTGTGATTGATATAAGAATGCTCTGGATGAGCAATTTAAGCATGTATACATAGTCCTCGATTCAGGAGCACATCCTTATTCAGGACACCACTTATGCATCTGTTTAAAGGTAAACATGTGCTCATGGCCTATTGCAGCTCAAAGGCTTTCTGAATTGGGATTTAAACCATGAAAAATTACTTTGGAAACTATGTAGAATCTGGGAAAACTACAACACTAGAAGAAGATTCCGTATCAAAGGTTAAGCATTCTTCCCGTTTGCTCTATCCAAGGGTAACAGGCTGATTTGCCCTAAAGGATGGAAGGCCTGGGGCCAGCCAAACCTGCTTACTAAGGAGCCACCCCTGAGAGGAGTCAGGTGATAGCAATTGCCCAGTAAAGAGCAGTGGGAGGCTGCAGTGAAAGTGGGAGCTCAGGAAGCTGTGGTAGAAACTGAGGAAAGGCTCCTGCAGGGAAGACCCTGACATGAGGGGAGCTGCCCCAGCTAGGATGACTAAAGCAGGAAGAAGACCTTGACACCAGGGGAATTTGGAAGGCAGACCCTGAAAGTTGAGCTCTACCTGGGTAAAGCTTAGGAGTGGTGATTGAACTGGAATCCGCTTCTGAGAACGAGGGCAGGGGATTCCCTATGTAAGGGGAGAAAGACATTGAATTGTAGCATTGGGGTCTCATGGGCCAAACTGTCAAAGGGCTAAATAAATTGGACCCCAGGAGGGGAATGTTTTTAAATTTAGCTTTGGACTATCAGAGTGCAGTTCCTGAGGGCCCTGAGGAGTTGGAGGAAACAGGGCAGGGTGCTGCAGAGTGACCTCTGTCCACAAGCCGGTGCTCCGGAGGCAGCTGCCCTGTTACACCAAGCTACAAGACTTAACTGCCACCTTCCTATTATCCTTTCCCTACTCTCTTCTCTGAACCTTCTTCCATGTGGCTGATAGGCCTGGATCCAGCTTGCTGGCTTTATCTGCCATACCCACACCCTCTCCCCTTTCAGATCACTTGTTGTATGCAATGGTGGTGTAGCCATGTTGGTCCCAGGATATGAGAGACACAAGGTGGGTGAGGTAATATCTTTTATTGGACCGACTTCTGTTGGTGAAAGAAACAAGCTCTGTGGAGCTCAAAAGCTTGTCTCTTTCACCAACAGAAGTTGGTCCAATTACAACAACTAATTTTTATTTTTTTAATTGGACCAGTATTGTAAAGCCTATAGACTTTATCTAGTCCTTCCCTTAGAAAAAGTGTTAACAAACTAGACAAACATAAAAAACTGGTCTCTCACTTTTTTTTTTTTAATTCATCCCCCTTCCTCAATCTGAGTTACCTGTTTTGAATGTGAGCTTTTGGGCAGGGTCCCTGGGTAAAATGTTTAAAAGCACTTGAGCCTCAGTGCCATTTTCAAAAGTGATTTAGGCACTTAGAATCCTATGTCCTATTGACTTTCAATGAGGCTTAGGTTCCTATGTAACTTCGGGCCATACATTAGAAGGTATTTATCTGCCTAAAAATGCAGATAGGCAGCTAGTGGGATTTTCAAAAGCACCTAGATACCAAGCTCCTATTGATTTCAGTGGGACTTAGGCACCTAAATACCTTTTTAAAATCTGGTTCTTAAGCACTTTTGAACATTTTACCACTTGTCGTCATACTTTGTAAAGCACCTTGCACACTTCTGATGCTATGTCAGTGTCTTAAAGTCTTTAGGAAACTGGCTAATTCTCAAGTGCTGATATCTAGGAGCTGGCTTATTTCTTGAATATGGAGACACTTTCCCCGGAGTGAACCCCAACATGCCCTTCCTCAGTGCCAGAGATGCAGTTTATTACCAACATGATCAGTTCCCCCTGCTGCCAGTTTCCATCTCTATCTTCAGGCCAATGAACCAACTGTGGGTACATAAGCCACATGTGGAGGTCAGGAAGTCAACCAGCAAGACTCACTGTGGACTCACCAACAGTGGAAGAACAATAGGGAGGCAATACTCCTGGCGCTAAGAGGCACATAGAATAGAAGGACATTGACCTTCCTGGAGAAGCCTTATAGAATTTAATAAATAGCCTTTCTGTGGGTGTTATAAGCCATTCTGTAGACTTTAATAGCAAATTTTATCCTTCCTCTAAAATTGCATAGGATGTCTCAGGAAAAAAAACCTATAAAATGGATCACATCCTCTTCTATTCTATAGGCTTTAGCACTAATTTAACTACATCAGAATCCAATTCTGAATTGGATTGAATAGTGTCACAATAGCCCTGAATTATGGGAAACTGTTTTCTCTTTCCCACCATCTCTATTTGTTGTAGAAGCATAAAAAAGGGACTAATTTTGTCAATAAATGCAACGATTTAAATATGAACCAATTAAAACTACTTGCTATAAAAATGTCAGAAAAGCTATAGGCAAAATTGCCCATTAATTTTGAGTGTCCTGCAGTTGACCCCTATATCCTGATGATCAGAGGTGCTGAGCACCCACAGTTCTCGTTGACTTCAGATAGAGTTATGGGTAGAGCTGAGCAAAATTTTTCAGACCAACAGTTTATTTGCCAAAACATGGCGTTTCAGGCTATGTGAAACTATTTGCAAATTTGACCCAGTTTCATCCCAAGACACATTTTTTCAAGGCTCAGCCCCAGGAAACTCATGTGTGTGTGTCCATGTCCCTGTCCTCATCTAACCTTTAGCCCAATAGTTAGGACACTTTTCTGAGTGTGGAAGACCCAGGTTTGAATCCCTACTCTGCTTCAGGACTTGATCTCAGATCTCCAAGTTGAGTAGCTCAACCATCAGGCTCTAGGGTAGGTTAGTCTCAACCTCTCCTATTTAAGCTATTCCACTTTGTATAAATACTTAAATATTCATTGGGGAAGGGACTTGAATTCTGACAAACTCTGAACATTTTCAGAATCAAAGCAAATATTTTTTCTAATTTTTTTTGTTTGCTTGCCAAAGCGAAAAATCAATTGTTAACCCAGGTCTAGGTATGGATGTTCAACATTACTGAAAATTGGGTCCAACTGGGGCACCCAAATTTAGTGGCCACTTTTGAAAGGCTAGTTATACTCTGAGAAATGAGGTTATTTGCATCACAGTCACATCCAGAGGCTTTGCTCAGGATTGGGACCTCATGATAGTTGTGGTACAAACACATAATAAGGGAGAGTCCCTGCCCTGAAAGGCTTATATAATATCATATAGCATTATTGCTTCACTTGAGGATCAAATCCTTAAAAGACACATGTTGGAGTATCCAACATAATTGATTCATCCCTTCTTTGTAGCCAGGGCTTGATTTAGGGTCAGCTTGGAGAGCGCCGGGCTGTACTCATGGTGCTGTTTTTGTTGTTAGTGACAAAAAGGAAAATAGAATGTTTGAAGTAAAATGTTTCAGGTATTTTGTATGTGGATTCATTTTTCGCTAAGTTCCTAAAATTTTTGTGGAAAATTCCAGACTTTCTGAGACTACATTTTCCTCAAACCTCTTAGAATGTTGTCAGCCATGCTCTTGTGGATATATAAGAGGTGGTGTGTTGCCAGTCAATCAGTCAGATATAAGAACGAACTAAAGTGACAGCCCAGCTGCGATATTGTGAACCTTGTTTTATTGTGTAATTGTGAAAGTGTACTTGTGTTTTAAGACTTGAAGAGTGTAAGTAGAGACTAAAAGGACATATTTAATGAGATGCCAGAGATATCTATTGAACCCCTATCTACGCAACAATATAAAAGTTTCTATAAGCGTAGCGGAAACAATTTTTTTTATTTGGTTACATATGGCATGAATAAATACAGATTTAAGGATCCTAATGTGCAAGTTTATAGTCTTGTATGACTGAGATAAATCATGCATGCAAATCGTGCATCAAAGTCATGAAATGGACTACAAAGTAAGGTATTCAAAAGTTTAACAAATGGAGGGGGGCACCGAAGATGATCCTTGCATGGGGCACCATTTGGTCTAGGACTGGCCCTGTTTGTAGCTAGCTTTCCTTGTTTTCTATATAGTAAAAACTCATTATAGTTAACCATTTTTATCTCTAACTTTAAAAGAATCTATTTCATGTGACTAGTGAAAATAGGCTATCCTTGCTAGAATGGCTTCCTTAGGGTGCCAAAGATTTTTGGAGTTATAGAGAGTGAATATGTGCTGTTGCGTCTGCTATACTATCAGGAAGCATATTTTTATGGGATATATGAGCGTCATCTATTCAGCATGTTAATCTTTTGGCAGCCAACATATAACACATGGTGTGGGGATTTTTGTAGGATGGACTGCAAATAATTTTAATTTTGTTTCTAGGTCTGGGAGCTAGAATCCGGGCACCAAATCTACCAGATTGAAGATGCCCATGGGCCTAATATTGAAGTGACCTGTGCAGCAATTGATAAAAATGGGTTTCACCTTGCTACAGGAGCCTGTGATGGTAAACAATTTAATTATCACTACTATTCTGTTATCTCTCTTTAGAATGAGATACTATATTGTGACCAGGGCTGTGAGAACAGTTTGCTTGGAACCCACCTGAAACCATGTTGGATTGGGGTCCAATTTCAAAAAGCTTTTGCAAAACTGGACTGGTGCTCTTTTGTATGGCCCTGACCCCAACCACCCCTTTATATTAAATGCCTCAATGTATAGCAATAAAAATGAGACCTGGCATAACTTTAAAGAAATACCACAAACTAAGCTTCCCCATGCAATTTGACTTAACTGTGAAGTACATCCTACCTCTGGAACTCGCATACCCATACCTGGGCTAGCTGTGATTGAGCTACTATATTAAAAATTGAGTGTAGCCACAGCGGCACAAGAGGTGGAACAGGCTATCTTCCCCAAGTACATGCATAGTGTATTGGACAGGGTGGTACTTGAGGCTGCTAGCCTCTCCTGCCATTGGTGCTGCCGCAGTGCTGATCTATTTTTAGCATGCTAGCTTGACCCGAGCTAGTCCAGGTATGTCTTCTCAAGCTGGAATTTACACCTTCAGCTCAAAGTGTGGATATGCCTCTTGTGCACCAGAGTGTATATACCCCACCTCCAGTCAGAGAGGGGAGAGGTTAGTAAGCGTCCTTGCAGGACAAGAAAAATACCTGCTTGGCCTGAAAGAAGTATGAAAGCTGTTTAGCCTGAAAGGAGAATTACAGATGGATCTAATTTGGGAATCAGGCCTTTGAAAGGCAATGTTAGGCTTTATGGGAAATGGCCTTTGGCTCTGTCTGCCTGGCTTCTAGTCCAAGAAGATCTTTCCCTCAGGGCTTAGGAGCTAGACCTGAATGGCATGAAGGATTAGAGACTGTAGTAGTCTGCACTGGACTCCAGGGACTGCTGTTCCATGATGTGATAATTCTCTGGGGGGTCTGGAATAAGCATCCTGTGAATACCTAAGAGTGTCATGGCTTACATAAAGCCTGTAGCAGTCTGGAACCAGTCAGCCCTGGTCTACGTTACCTAGAATGAACAGTATTAGAATAAGGATTACATTGAAACAGACACCTGAAGAAAATCCATCCTACATGCAGTGTGGCAGTTACTGCGGTGTTAGAAACCTTGATATCTTCTTGGAATTTCCTGACTCTTGTGTGCTTGAATTCTCAATGTTAACATTGTTTTGATGACAGGTTTTTGCTTTCAATTTCCCTTGCTGGGAAGAAAGGGGAGAAGGGATGAAACTGAGGTTGCCTTTTACGCAGGAGGACTAAATTAGCTCAACAGGCCATCTTTCACTCAGCTGCCTTAACATTCTCAATCCTGTGACTCAAGAAGGCTGTATTAAAACATGGCAGCACTGGCGCGGGAACAATTTGTATAGTGGAAGTGCTGAGAGCCATTGAACCAAACTGTAAACCCTGTATATGATGGAAACCACTTCAAGCCGGGGGTTCTGCAGCACCTCCCGCACCTCTAGTTCCAGCACCTATGCATGGCAGCATGTGTGCACACTCCAAATTTAAATGATCACCACTTCCAAAATACTGAACCACCCTGCTTTAAGTGGGACATGTATTTCTCTCCTCCAAGAAAGCTCGAAAACAAGCCAAGGTTTGAGTTTCTATCTTAAGTGTTATTGATACGCAAGAACAAAGCTTATGATAGGAACATGTGGGCTAAGTGCATTTTTTCCATCTTGTATAATTCAAAAATAGCAAAACCCATTTTGCTCAAACTTTCACAAAAAATTGAATTATTGTGGGCTAAGCCCAAGCATGAATATCTTCAGTCCAGAAGGCATTTTAATGAGAAAACTGAGCAACTGGAGTAAAGGAGTTAAATTGAAAAGGGAGAACTCAGTTTTATAGGATTTGCTGACTCTGAACACGATACATAGTTAGTGTATTTTCCAATATGCAACACGTCATGTAACGTATGGCATGTTAGTTTGAGATTGTATGACAAGGCCTCTCTGTTTATTTACCAGACCTGCACTGAATTCTTCAGTAGACTTTAATAATTGATTAATCAATTAGCATGGCTGCATAATTCTGAAACTTCAGGGTTTATTGAAATGTTAAGAAATGCAGCACCAAGTAAATTTTGGGATACTCCAGAAATATACAGGGTTCCTCATGAAGAAGACATGGCCTCTGCCACAAAGCATGCAGGCCAGATTAATTCCACTTGAGCATACTGTCCTTTATTAGCACCATTTAGCCGAGATACTTTGCCCACCGGGCTTAGGGGCTACTCAGAAAGGGCAAGCTGTTGTCAGGTCAGTAGCGCCACACGACAAGGGTGGATCCCAGTTGGTAGATACTCTTTCAGAGAGTGCTTCAGCCTCTCTTTTCCACCCCCTCATTTTGAGAGAAGGTCTGGTAGTGAGTCATGTCACACTCAGCCTTGCCACTCTCTCAGATCGGAAGATCTCTGCCTTGCTGGCTCCCTTTCTGCCCTTTTGTGGGCTTGGCACAGAAGCAGGAAGTACAAAACAGGCATGGAGAAGGACAGAATGGTGGTCTATTGGCAATGGGAATGTCTGATAACCCCATATAACTGTGCTCACTGAGAGGAGAGGTGAGGGACTAGAGAATCTACTCCATCGTTCTCCCATTTAGGCAAAAATGCTTTTGTATGCCCACAGTCAAGGAAGGAGGCAACATTGCTTGGCAATCAAACTTAACACCCTCACTGACATCAATAGGTTTTGGATCAGGCCCTAAGTGTGCGTCACTGGAAACGTTTGTTTTCCTGAAATCAATTAAGTTTATTGCTCGAATAGCACAGGGTTGAATTTACATTATTTGAAATGTGACTGACACTGTAGGCAGACCGTTGTGCTGCCCCAGGGACATTTCTGAAAAATATCTGGTGGTTGATGCTTTTACAAAGGCCCTAGTGTCGGTCAGGGACCCATTGTACAAACAGAAGTAAATAAAGTCCCTGCCTTGAAGAGCTTACATTTGACTTTTAAATGACTCAGCCAACACATGTGAGAAATTGAAAGAAGGGATTTTTGAGCCTCATGATAAGTTATATTTAGCAGGGAAGATTTTAGCAGTATCTAGAAAGGGAGAGGGTCCATCTGAGGCAGGGAAATCACAGCAATATTCCCTGTACTTGGGTGATTGAATATTTGTAAGGGATCCCTACATACACACTTCCTGCCAACCCCTGCCCCCGGAATATAGACTAATTCACAAATACCATGTGTCCCAACCACATGCTTCTGTGAAGCAGTATTCAAATACCAAACATCAGACCTGTAGAAATGGGAAATGCGATGCAGCTGATTTTTCTTTCTTTTTGCTATTTGGGACTTGTCAGGTTTCTGAGTTGAAAATACATGTTTTGTGTTTAACAGTTTTTCTCCTTGTGTTTCTTGCCCTCACTTCTTGTTCAGGAACATTGAAAATCTGGGATTTTGGAAGTGGGCAAGAAATTAAAGCTTTGCCTGTAGCAAATGATAGCAAAGATGATGAGCAGTGGCTGCTGCAGCTAGTTTATCTGAAGGCTAGTGAGAGTCGGCATGTGATCCTGGCTTTGGAGCACAGTGGGGAGATCAAAATCATTCAGGTTTTTGATATCTTACATGTGATTTATTTCATTCTGTAGCTGCTCATTCTGAAGTTCAAACAGACAACTTTCATAGATCAGTAGGCAAACCCTATGCAACTGTCAATGTAAAGTCATTTTTCAGCATGTCATCAAAGTAACTCTTTAATATTTAAAATGTCAGTGTGTTCCATGTTCCATGGCTAGATGTTCAGCATTCTGCTCACCTCTTTCCATGAACACACTACACTGGAACCATTAATATTTTTCTCATAGCAGTTAGGCTTTGGTGGAAAGTTTTAAATTTCCTATCCCTCAGTCATTTTGCTCACTGAATAAAAGCCAGAACCTGCCCTTTATTTGCCGGATGTGCATAACTTTACTCATTGAAGTAAATGGGAATACTCCAGTGAGTAAAGTTATTCACACATGCAAGTGCTAGTAGGATCGGGTCCCAAGACTAAAGAACTCTTTCCCTTCCTCTCTCCTTCAGAAGTGAAAATCAGAGGCCCATGCACTCCCCCTTGATGACATGATGTGAGGGAACGGCATGATCTGAATCCTGCATAGAAGGGTTTCAAAGGAATATGAAAAAGAGCCTCTCACTCTATGGTTCCTTGATTCCTCTTGAGTTGCTGCAGTGCAGCTCTCTGGCCCCATTAGCAATGAGCTTAAATAGCTTACAGACTAACAAGAAAATAGCTAGAAGCAAATTTGAGGCTACTTTTGTCCTTGCATATTTCTATTTATAGTGATACCCTTTGCCCAAGCACCTAAACAGGAGAGAGTACTACACGCTAGGTAGTTGGTGAGACAGACGTTGGTCCAATAAAAGACATTACCTCACCCAACTTCTCTCTCTCTCTCTGTGTGTGTTCATAATTTGACACAGACATAGCCCACTCTGCCACAATGCACTCATACAATCAAGTTACATAATCATCATCCCAATACATACAACCATAGGATTGCATACCGAACATAAATTCTTAGGCATAGCAAGGTCATGGACAAAAGAGCAGTTTTCTGACTGCATCTAGATGAAATTTCTGTAACAAGAAGTTATACATTATGGTTATGAGCATGAAAATAAGCATTTATGCAGCCTTCTTTATCCCTCTGAATGTTGCTCTGGAAGAGAATAGCCAGTGTATGGAGCTGCTTTACAAATTAACGTACTATAAAACTTGAAATAATCAGTTCATTGAATTTGCTATTTATGGTTAATTAAAAAAAACTCTAAATTTAATTTACTAACAGCTTAATTAAATGTAGCCATATGAGCCATTCCTCCCAAACATTACTGTGAACCAAATTTAAATCTGAAAGGTGCTAAATAATGCTGCCTAGTAGATTTACATGGTTTACGGTAATTTTTTTCCAAATTGTTCTTGTTCAATATATTGAAATGGTTTAAAAAAACAACACCCCTCTTCCGCATTGATTAACTTTAGCATGTAATGCCTCTATGAAAAGAGTATTAAATCCTAGCTACCTTTTAAATAACTTTGAGTCTGTCCTAAAGCCAAAAAGTAGGGACATTGAAGTTAAGGCAGGAAGCTAAGTATTGGAGTTTGTTTTATACGCGGAGAACCTGTTAAGAGAACCCCCATTAGCAACTAGACACAATGGGCAAGGATCAAAGACTCAGTTTCAGCCTTAATTCTACATTTCCTTAGGTTGAACCAAAATGCTTGTTGTTTTCATGCAAGTGGGATGTCCGCCATCTTTGCTATCATACCAGAGATTGAACTTGGGACCTCTAAAACTAAATGTATGAGCTGCTACAACTTGAGCTAAAGAGCCAAGAGGTTGTAGCATGGAGTGTACAAGATTCATATAGTCTGTGAATCAGCAATGAAGGGGACCTGTAATGCACTTTGACCAGTGGGGTACATATGGGAATTGATAATATGTTGTGACCGGGGTCCCAAGGGAGCCAACTGAGGTCACTCAATTAGGGTGAACTGCAAAGAATGGGCCAGACAATTCCCAAAGCTGGTGGATATTCCAATACTTAGATTTACCAAGCCAGCACAAAACAGCTTCTATAATACCTCACTGGTTACCCAGAAGCCCACAGCACAGTTCCCTTAAAGTAACCCAGCCTCAGGCTTCCACCCAGACACCCAAGTCAAATATGACAAGGATTACTGAAAATCTTATTCATCATATAAAAAAGTTCTATCAATCCCAAAGGATCGGACACATTACCTCCCAGGTTAATGAATATTCCAGATTTACCCAAATACAATCTTACAGTCAATTCTTATTAACTAAACTAACATTTATTTAAAAAAGAGAAGAGAGGGAATATTGGTTTAAAGATCAGTATACATACAGACATGAGTACAATCTTGAGATTCAGATTCATAGCAGAGATGGTGAGCTTTGTAGTTGCAAAGAGTTTTTTCAGAAATATTTCATAGGTTATAGTCCAATGTTTATATTCAGGGTGGTCCAGTCAGGACTGGGATCTCAGTCCTTATGGCTTAGCCTTCCCCTGCATGAAGCCTCAAGCAGATCTGAGATAAAAGGGATTAGGACCCAAGGGTCTTTTATACAGTTTTCTAACAGCCACTTGACCATACTATCCTGGGTGAACAATAGGCTTTTGATGTAAACGTCTGTTTCCCAAAACTCACTAGTAATTAACTACATGGATTAACATAAGATAATTTATCCATTAGGCAGTCTATCACAAACTTTAAAGAGACAGATAGACAATGACATTATTGCATTCAAGATTCATCTAAATGTTAATAATCCCTTTTGATCTCTGAGTCAATAGCTATAGTGACAGAGAGGAACTGTCTGTTTACATGGCTAATTATTAAACAAGATATAAGTAAACACACAATTAGTATCATCTCTAATTCTCTAACAATACAGGTTTTCACTTCAAAGTTCTAGCCTATCTAGCAGGGAGTGGCCCTAATTACAATTTGCATACTTTCCTAACATGACTTTAAAGTTTGGCTCTTGGTCATTTAGCATGCAAGCTGCTTAACCCTTTCTGGCCATGTGTCATACTTTGTATAAGATCCATTGCAATGATACAACAATGGTAGCAACAATGGTTTGCATGGTCATATTTTAATCAGATAACGTCACATATTTATTTTTGTCTTTTGGTTAAATGGATCGTTTTTCTAGGGTAATGAAGGTGAACCTCATCTGACTGTTACATGGGAGCTCCCTGAGGCTGTGTCACTTATTCTGCAAGAGAATCCAGTTATGTCTCTATGGCTGAAACCCAATGCCAGGAAAACAAATGGATTTTTTCCAGATGTTCAGCTGTTGTCTGACAAAGGTCCTAAGAGAAATAACGAAACCCAGGTGAGAACACTTCTTAAATTTTTGCATTGTTTACCTAAGAGAAGCAAGTGAGTAAGAGATTTAGATGCAGTATGAGAGGCAAATATTCCAAACTTTCCACTGCATTGAATCCAAAAATATTTTATTTCAGGGGGTGACTATTTCTATGAGATTCAGTTGCATGACACCCACTGATATTAATAATTGTTGTGATTAAATATATAAGCATTGCCAGGACAATAGGCCCCTGATTATTATTGTACAAGTTGAAAATAGTAAATTGAGATTTTTGGATGGACAGCTCTGTAGCCGTGAACTTCATAAATCTTAATGAATGAATCCTCTCAACAACAAAGAAAGGAAGAGTTTAACATATTTTGGCTATCTTCGATGTGGAGAAACTGAGACTCATCCAAGATCATAGAATCATAGACTATCAGGGTTGGAAGGGACCTCAGGAGGTCATCTAGTCCAACCCCCTGCTCAAAGCAGGACCAATTCCCAACTAAATCATCCCAGCCAGGGCTTTGTCAAGCCGGGCCTTAAAAACCTCCAAGGAAGGAGACTCCACCACCTCCCTAGGTAACGCATTCCGGTGCTTCACCACCCTCCTAGTGAAATAGTGTTTCCTAATATCCAACCTAGACTTCCTATGTCAAACAGCAAGTCTGTGACAGACCTAGGGCTAGAAACGGGATCTCTTGATTTCTAGCCCTGTGATCTAGCCACCTGTCTCCAGACACTGCCTCCCATTCTAAACGACATGGCCATGGTGACATGAGTTACCTGTATACTTCTCATGAAATGAGGCACATTTAACACAGGCTTGCCAAATCCCTCTCGCTAGGGCAAATAGTTTTCCAGGTGATTGTGACCAATGTTACTGACCTCTGCAGAATCAGCTTTCACTATTTTTTTTAAGTACCGGTATGTTTCTAGCCCCAGTGGTTGTGAAGAAAAATGTAGCAAGTCACTTGTAGCTACTACTGCTGCGTGGTGAGAACAACTGCTTCTCAGACGCGTTCAGGCCTGACTCTCTGTGAGCGCTACTCGTTCTACCTCAGTTCAGAGTGTGGAGGAGCCGCGTCAGTGGGATCAACTGAATCCTTTAGGTGCCACTCTTCCTTACCATGGGCCAAAGAGGAAAGGGGTGAAGATCACCAGTTCCCACGCCTCCTTGCTGCCAGTCACCTGAGGCCAGTTCCAGAGGAGTCCTGCTGTGCCCTTCACAATGTCCTTATGTGTCTGGTCTCCTCATTTCATTTTGTTTTGTCTCCTGTCTCCCATCAGGCTTGGTGGAACAGAAGATACCCCTCTCCATCTCAGAGGGGCCATGCATGCCAGCAGCTCTAGGGCTCCATCCCCTGAGCAAATGGCTGAATATCTGCCAGAGTGGTGCTTTAACTACTGTATATTCCATTCTAATATCACAAGAACATGGGGACACTCAGTGAAACAGAAAGGTGGCAAGTTCAAGACTGAAAAAAGGAAATACTCTTTTACACAATGTGTGGCTAGACTGTGGAATTTATTGTCACAGGAAGTTGTTGAGACCAAGAAGTTAGCAAAATTCTAAGAGGGATTGGATGTCTCTATGAATAACAAGAATCCTCTGAGTTATAATAGTTGATGCCAACAGAAAAGATCACTGAAAGGAATATAAAACTTCCTGCTTCAGGGGTTAAACCAATCTCAAAATATTAGGGGTTAGGATGAGATTTTTTTGTGAGGGCAGATTATGCCACAACTACCTACTTTGATTTTTCACCTTCCTCTGAATCATTTGGTGCTGGCCAGTGTTGGAGACAGGATAGTGGACTAGATAGTCCATGGCTCTGATACAGTAGTTCAATTCCTGTGTAATGCAATGCGCTGTGCAGTTGCTTTTGCTGTTAATTTCATTTGGATGTTTGTGATGTGTTAATGTACTAAGCATTGTTAACAACTTACACCAAACCATTAACACAGTACAATGCTCAATAGATACAGAGTGTCTCAGTTCAAGTATGTTTGGGCTAGTATTAATGTATGGTGCAAACAGTGTAATACAAAGGGGAAGAAGAATGATCCTGTGTGTAAAGCATAGAGTTGAGAGCCTGGGTCTGCTTAGGTCTTTGCATGGCATAAGAATGGCAAATGTTATAACGTATAACTTTAATAAAATGCATTGAGTTTACAACAATGTACAATGTCATTTTCTGTACATAACACATGTTAAAAACATTTCACTATCAAATGTCATGTCCTTCTTAGTAAACGTCTTCTTTATGCTTCCTTTAGAATTTACCACTGGGTGAAGAAATGAAGTGCTTTGATGTGTTAAAAGTAGAAGGATACAGTTTGATAGCTACTGGAAATGCACATGGTGCAATAACCTTGTGGGATTTTGAATCTGCCACTGTCAGATACTTGTAAGTAATACTTTGGTAAAAGATATGGCAATATCGTGGACAATTCCTATGGAATTAAGTTAAACCTTATTGAATTAAGTTTAAGTATTTTGGGGGTACATTGCATTGAAAATAAAAATGTTAATGTACACCTCTACCCCAATATAACGCTGTCCTTGGGAGCCAAAAAATCTTACCGCGTTATAGGTGAAACCGTGTTATATCGAACTTGCTTTGATCCACCAGAGTGCGCAGCCCCTCCCCCCCGGAGTGCTGCTTTACCGCATTATATCTGAATTCGTGTTATATCGGGTCGCGTTATATCGGGGTAGAGGTGTACTATTGTATTGTATGGAACTTCTTTAGAGGAAGAACAAGATTAGTGCAATCTCTGGAAGATATTAGGACTTCAAAGGGCTTCTATGGATAATGCATTTGAAATTGGGGTGAGGGAAATGCAAATGTTAAACCTGGAATCCATCCTTTTGAAGCTGAACATTGAGCAGAGACCTATTAGCTGGCTGATTTACCTATTCACAGCAGGAGCCATGGAAGCACCTTAAAAGTGTGTGTGGGCGGGAGGGGGGCAGAGGTGCCCTAACCATGGCCCTGCTCCTGCACTGTCTCTTCCCCCTGAGGCCCCGCCCCCCATTTGATCCTTTCCTCCTCCTCCTCCTTCCCCTCTCTGTCGCTCGCCCTTGCAGGCCAGCTGGTAAAAAGTGGGAGGGCCATGGTTCCCTGCCCCCCCACCCCATTCCAGCGCCCCGATTCACTGTTTCCTCAAAGAACCAAACTGGATATGTGAATGACTCACAAAGTCCTGGGTTGTTCTCATTCTGAGCAGAGTGTGGTGAATTTGAAACCACAGGGAAATCCCTGGTTGGGTTTTGAAGGACTACTTCTGCCAGAGCCCATGTTGGAGGGAGTGACCTCTGTAAGGAGGTGAGACAATGATTAAGTGAATTTACCTCCTGTAAAATGGCAAGGGCCTAAGTATATTTAATCGTGTATTTAATGGATCATATCATATACATACTAGCTAGCCATATATATAAGCAAGTGCATAGTCAATATAAATGTAGGGCTAGTTTTGTTCAGACCTTTGAATAATCTTTTTTATGGAAGATTGCACAACCTGATATGGATGTGAGGTTCCAAGGATGACGTAACAGTGAGAGGTTATGATGACACAGCCAAATATAATCAGGGTAAACAAAGAAAGTCCCCAAAATCCCTACCAAATATTAAAATTGACAGTTTTATTGTTGCAAATAAATAAATAAACAAGTTATTTATTTTAGGCTATAAATGTGGAATTTTATATTTGGTCATAGAACTTTATTCATTATTATGTAATGAATCAGAGGAGAAGGATGTTGACAAAAGTATGGTAGTATCTTGGGTATAAAAGAGTGTATGGAGACTAAGTCTTTGCCTTGGTTATGTACACCTTGTCTGTACATGCAGCTAAATCATTGGCCTGACATACCTCAACTGATCACTGGGTTGTGGCACTTTGTAACTATGCTGAAATAAACCTGTTCCTTGCATCTGAGCTCTGGAGTTAGTAGTGGTTTTGTCTGCTACAGTAGTTGTCTGCTTTGCTAGGTTCATAAGGTAATCTGTGTGTCTGGTTGGTGGTCCTGAAAATATTCTTACAATCTCTGTCAAGCTTATTAGTATGTGTATAGATTTTTTTTATTGTTTTTCATATATTTGTTTGTCATGCTTTTATCTGAAGAATAAAATGTGCTTGCTTAGAAAGACCTTTGGTAGCTTATAAACTGGTAGCAATTACGCTGTGTACCATCTCTAAGGCGAGAAGTGAAACAGGTCTGCTTAGGCAGACTACCTTCCGCTGGAATAACATAGTGAAGGCATTGAATTGGTCGGCCTGGAAATACACAGTCAGGTCGGAGAGAGATGCAGGTCCCCATGCAAGAAAGCCAACAGCAAGGGACCCGGAAGTCTGACAGTGAACCACTCCTGAACCACTAAGGGGGAAATACAGGTGTAGCTGCCCTGAACTGTGACACTCTTCATGGAGACATTTTGATTTACAGTGCACCCATACAGCCCTAACAAGAAGTGACATTTTTGATGAACACGACCTTTTACCCTACTATCAAAGGATTGATTGAGAAGGATTTAAAGTAGCAACATATTTAGCAACACACATTCTTAGCATTTCCTCTAGTTCACTCCAAAATAATCTGCTCAATTTTAATCCTACCACAGCAGGTGGGATTAGTTGACTAGATTATTTAGGAGTGGACTGGACAAGGTATTTCTAAGCAAGTGATGTAATCAGAAATTAGCATTAACATCACTGAGCAGTGGTGATAAGGGAAATTCTTCCACGGTAAATTATTCAGTCCTTTACCATTAGCCTTTGGCATTGTAACTAGCCTGTTTAAAGTGGTGAGAGGTTATAGAGCTATCCCAATTTTGGAAGTGTTCAGCATTGTGTGGGCATCTGGAAGGAGCTGATACTACTGCTGCCATTGGGAGATCCTATTACTGCTCTTTTATTGTTCATTTTCTAAGGCTGTTGTTGTGGTGATTCTGCCCCTTACTTTGTCTTCTGTAGGATGGGGGGGGATTCAGAGTTTGTTTGGTTCAGTTAATCATCCAAAATTATTTGGGTTATCCAAACTTTGGGACATTACCCCCACAACCATGTGAAATGGTCTAACAACATCAAGTGAGAGATGGGCAAGCACAGGCTCTTAGACGATGCTTCCAACAGGCCTGAGCACCTCTCTCTCAGCTTGTGTTATCTTTGCCACAATTCCTCTTCCACCCTCCAAAAAAATCAAGCTGAGGCTGCAGCTTTTGTGGGTGGATAGGCAAACTGCCCATCCATTCTTCAGCAGTGGGACCCTAAGTATTCATTAGACCATGCTGGGGTTGCTGCTCCTGGCCCAAGGATGGGGATTTCCATAAAATATGGTGCACTCTGCTACATCCTCGCCCTGGACATCTTACATGGTAAAAAGTCCAGGAGCAGTGGCTATAGCATGATTTGTTGGAGCATTTCCTTATCCTGTTGAAGAAGGGTGGGGAGGCTGGCTGTCTATCCCCCAGAAGATCCCTTAGTCCTGAATTTTGGAGAGGTAGTGGTGTCACCAACTGCTGTGTGAGGGAGTTCACTCATCATGGGTGCCCCCTTATGGCTGGGCATGGGCGTAGAGTCTCCTCTTTTCCTGGTATATCCTGCCAACAGCTGCTCTAGCCCAGTGATGACCTGGGCTATATAAAGAGTCCAGCAATGGAGAGCCCTATAGTCAGGCAAGGGGTTCCATGCCCCCTCTGCATCAAGGTCTAGTAATCTTGAGCCTTCTGGCTTCAGGGCTTCTCTCATCTACAGTCCCCATAACAGGGGTAAGCTTTCTGCCTCCTGCCATGCCTAGGAGCTGTTAGGGAAACCTGAGCCCACCCTCTCTACCAGTTCCCAATGCAGAGCCCAGCAGCTGATAGCTAAGTTCTGCACCCAGAAGTGCAATGCTTCTGTTTCCCTGGGTCATTCCTACCAGTGCCCTCTTCCCCAGCACATACAAACAAGGCATTAAACAACTGAAATCAAAGATAAAGCTTCAGACCTGAGTGCCATGAGCCCCTTCTCTGTGGGTTTGGTGAAGTCACCACCACCAGAAGCCTCAGGCGATAGGACATCCTGTAGGGCTGCTTCTCAGGACCTGAGAATGTACATCAACTCACTGCCACTGTTTACCCTCCTACTGACCTGGTCTGTTCTCCTTTTGAGCTCCTCTTCCAAGCCATGCATGCTTTGCACCTTCTCAACCCCTTCCTTACTGGTGTGGTGTTTGTATACACCATCACACCATGCAAAGAAGTAAAGAGATAGCAGGCCAGGCAGTCACCTTCTCATGAGCTGGGACTAGGACAAAGCCAGCTGGCTGCCCTTTGAAGATGACTGAAGTGGAGCAGTAGAAAGCCCCCTCATCTCCAGATGACATGGTAAAGGAAGACCACACCTTTTTGCATGAAGATGCCAAGTGTGGATGGACGTGAGTGGGCAGATGGTGGAAATGGCTGGAACTCCCTTCATTTCTTCTGGAGGAGAATCCTTTACTGAATTCCTCCAGACATCAGTGGTTTGGCTATGAAAAAAGAGAAGGTTTGGAGAGGTTTGCTACAGTATTGATCATCACTACTTTGCCAATATCTAGCTGTAGTAGGAGAGCTCTTCTCCCTTTCATCTGAGTGGCTGCTGGTCTGCTCTCTGACCTTCATGCTGTTCCCAGAGCTACTAATATGGTGCTTGTTTTAGATTCCATATATGTTTTCCCTTCACCTGTCTTTTGGTGGTGCTTTTCTCCGGAAGGCTTGTATCTTGCTACAGTGGCAGACGACAGACTCCTGAGGATTTGGGATTTGGAACTAAGAACTCCAGTGGCATTTGCACCTATGACCAATGGCCTGTGCTGCGCCTACTTCCCACATGGTGGGTTTATTCCCACAGGGATGAGAGATGGCCACATCCAGTTCTGGAATGCCCCCAACGTCCTCTCATCACTTAGGCACTTGTGCCGTAAAGCTCTCCACACCTTCCTAACAACGTACCAGGTCCTAGCACTACCCATTCCCCAGAAAATGAAAGAGTTCATCACCTACAGGACCTTTTTAAACCCTGAGTAGTACATGGGGTCCAAAGAAACCTGGAGCTGGCTGGCTTCCTTTCTTCCTTCCAAACTTTGCTCTGGAACAGAGGAGCAGCTGGGGTTATAAAATGGTCACAAAGACCCACTACGCTCTATGGTTCTAGTATGAGAAGGATTTTTGTTCCTCTGTTTGGGGCTGTATCTTTGACCATGTAGGTTATTTTAAGACCATTTTATAACCCCAACTGTATTTTGGTGGTGCTCCTCTTGATCCTCACAGTTTTTAAATATTTTTCATTTTTGTGCCCAAATTTGACAAAGAGAAATCCCTTCAAAACACCTTCTTCCCTAATTAACTGCTCCAAAAAGTTGTCATTAAAAATACCACTATTATCACCCCTAAAGCCTCCAGAAACTCTGACGTTATGGGGGCGGGGGAAACACAAAGACCCTGAGAGTTCCCTCAATCAGTGTTCTACACCTTCCCATATCTTGCCCACCAGGGATTGGCAGGATGGTCTAGTGATCATTCTCTGTATGGTCCCAACTTTCTAGCAGCAAAAATCTGATCTCCCCCTAAGAATTGTCACATGCCACTGAACAGTTTTGTCTAGCTCTAGTAAACTCATTTAATAAGCTTGTAAGTATTTACCTTGAAAACTACACTGTGGCTTAGAAGAAGCTATTAGAACTGGGCACATTAATAAATGTGCCAAACATTCTAAATAAAAAATGGGATTCTGGTGATATTTTTCATCTTCATCAGTTTCTCTTTTGGACAAAATGCCAACACTAAAACTTCAACAACATTTTATATTTAAAAAAAAATGGTTTTGAAATTGTGGGTGAAATTCCACTTTTTCCCCCAAAAGGGGTGAGGGAGAAATGAAAGGGGAATAAACGATTTAACTACCTTGCAGGGGTAGAGCTGTTAGTATGGCCACATGGAAGAGAAAGGAAGGGGAAATGTTGGAAGAAAATAGGGCATTGTACCCATGATTCACATGACTGGAGTGAATGCCAAGATGATGGCAATTTTCTGGTTAAGTTAACGTATTTTTCTTAAATGCTGAGTCTTGGGGGACTGAAAGATTTCCCCCCCCCAACTGCACCATTCCATCAGCTTCCAGGCTCTTAGTTCAGTACCTGGTGGGGATGCTTACAATGGCACAACATACACTAAGCCTGCTCTGTGGGTTTAAAAGAAAAGTGCGGTCTTTTCTAAAGATGTCAAGCCAGAATAATTCATGAACAACAAACTGACTTTACAACATTATATGTGGCTTCTTACATGTAACATAAGCCCCGGAAACAAAAATTGTTTCATTCTTAAGAGTTTATGTATTTGTCTATAACTTTACCTAACAATCACTGTAATAAACATAAAAAGTGTTGAAGTGTGTGACAAATCGTGTACAAACCTCTTTATTTCCAGGGATAAAACTTATCAGGCTGGTCAAAATGCTGTCGCTCAAGTATCTGGAGTCAATGCCGTGCTATTCCTTTTCCGGAGTGCTTTCTTTTCCAGGTAACTGAATTGCATGCACTGCATTATGAATTTTGCTCTGTTAAATTGGCATAATTTTCCCACCACTCTTTTACCCCAGGATAACCTAGAGCTGAATTGAGCTAGATTAATTGGATTTTATTAATCCAGTTACAAACCCAAGTGGGCGCTTAGCTTTCCCATTCCTTCGTCAGTGTCTCCTTACATGTTGCTCTTTAGGTGTGAGATGCCCTCTCTATACCACTTCACTAAGCCCCCCCACCCTCCTTATTCAAAAGTCTCCAAAGCCTCACTTCTGCTCCATAAGAAGTTAATATAACAAATTTATTTAAAACCCCAAATTGCTCCCTCTTCTGATTTTTTTTTTCCAGTGGCTCTTCCCTTCTTTTAAGTTGTCTTGTAGACTGCAAACTCTTTGGAGCAGAGACAGTTTTTTATTGTTATTTGTACAAACCTCAAGTCAGGTTTTAACAAACAATAGTAGTGGCAGGCCAGTATTCCTCAAAAATTAACTTGGAATTTAATGTATGTGGGACAGATGCTCAGTCGCAAAGCCCATATGTCTAGAGCGGAGGGATGAGCATGTGTGCGTTTTCACAAGCGCGCATTTTCCAGTGTACGTTCATAGACACCTGGCAGCCTTGAGGACTTAATTTGGATTAAATACTTATGCAGTATTAAGGATTTAAGCAATTAAGCAGCTTTATGCCCCCTTGAATCTGTAGAGTGATTTGTGGTCTTGTATCAGAGGGGTAGCCGGATTAGTCTGAATCTGTAAAAAGCAACAGAGGGTCCTGTGGCACCTTTAAGACTAACAGAAGTATTGGGAGCATAAGCTTTTGTGGGTAAGAACCTCACTTCTTCAGATGCAAGAGGTGAAGAAGTGAGGTTCTTACCCACGAAAGCTTATGCGCCCAATACTTCTGTTAGTCTTAAAGGTGCCACAGGACCCTCTTTTGTGGTCTTGTGTCATTTTAAATCCTTAAAGCATCTTGCACACTTACTACACCTAAATGTGCCATAACCATTTAATAAATGTTAATCAGACTTTCAGTCTTAAACAATAACATTTGGCCCTTTCTTTTCAAAGAGACCCAGGTAAATTAAATTAAATGCAGTGATTAGGTTTCACAGTTTGCATTTTTTTTATGTCAGGAAATAGTCTGACTATTGAAAGGTGAGGCTCTTGCAATGACATTGAATCATACATGTTTTGCATAGGTTGTATTTTCTATTATTGTTTCTGATTAAATGGAAGCTTATTACTATTACACACACAAAAAGTAAATTAAAAGAACATTTGCTAAGCTTGCAAAGTGAAGCACCCCAAGGCTAGGAAATGCCAGAATTAAGGAGGCACCTTTGCGCATATGCATTATGATCGTCTTTAATTACATGATCACATATCACTTGTTCCACAGGATCCCTGCCTCATTCAGTGCACAGGATGGATGGAAGGATTCACTATTTTGTTGTATCCCCATTGTTCAAAATGTGGCCCGAGGCCTTATTTATTGCACACTATCAAACCCTGCTCTGAAGACAAGAATATTAATTTCCTCATGGATTTTTCTGTAGGGCTCATGAGTGTTTCACAGACATGCATTTATTTTCATAACATTTCTATGAAATGACAGGGTATTAATATTCCTATTTCTGGGTGATAATTGATATACAAAAGGTCAAAAGTATCCACTAATTTTGGGTGTTCAATTTGAGACAACTAGCATCTGATTTTTCAGAGTCCTTAGCATTGTTATGTGTTCAAAGGACAGCTCCCATATTAATTTTGACTGCAACTTTGAGTGCTCAGCACTTCTGCAAATGAGACCCTACAGTCTCAAATTGGGCATCCAGAAAATTAAGAACACACAATTAGTGACCACCTGTGAAATGTTCAATTCAAGTGACTTGCCCAGCATTACACAGGCAGGGATAGAATCCAATTCTCTGGGGCAGCATTTAACTGCCTTAACTGTGAGACCTTCCTTTCTCTTTCTTGCAGTTCCCTGTCTCATTCGCTACACACCTTCTGACTTCTGCCACAGTCTTCTTCATTACACAACCCTGATCCACTCCTAGGACAAGTCCACCCATTGCACTGAATGAAGCAGGAGTGTTGGGGGGGGGGGAAATAGCATGTGATCAAGTAATTAATGGCTGTATCAATGCATAAGCTCAGGGGAGCTGAACTAAGGTTGCACAGGCAACCTCATTTTTTAACTTTTGAGTGCTTCTTTTGCAACCTTAATGTTCTTTTAATGGTGTGTGTGTGAGAGAGAGAGAGAGATTTCCTAGGTTATTAAAAAGGGAAATCTGAAAAGGAGAAAATCCATCATGAAGCACCACAGTGACACCTGTGTGTGTGATATGCAGGGTTGGAGCCTTTAGATCCACAGCACAGACCTTTGCCACTTGAGCTAATGGAATAACTGATAACAGTAGTAGGTTGTCATCCTCTGTGTGTGGATTCGCACTAGAGGGGAATGGGACATTTTGCCAGTGGGTTTCATAGATATTTGCTGACAGCAGAGGCATGGTGAGACTCAGAATCTTAGGTTCCATTCCAGGCTATGGAGTGGAGTGTGCGCTGGTGGGCACAGATTCATCTGCCTGTTCCTCACAAGTGTAACCCCTTTTACCCTGTCCCCTCCAATCTCTCCTCTCCCACTCTTCTCTTCCCCATCCCTGACATCTTATACCAATTGCTTTGCCCACAAATCCTAGTTTCACCCCTCTGCTCTCCTTATCTCAGCTTATCCTTATCTTAGCTCCCAGTCTGCTTGCCTAGCCAGCACCAGTCTCTCTCTTCCCCCCCACCCCCCCCCCACTCCCCAGGCTCTTGTCGTCTTTACTTACATACTTAGGTTACTTTCTAAAATTTTTGAAAACTTAGCCTACCTAGTGGAGACACAACTTACCCGTCCCCCCAATAGCACTGGCTAATATTAACTATCGATCTCTAACATAATCTCTGAGAATGTCAGTAGTCACCCATATTTTATTATGTGCCATCAACCATATCTCTGAATTGTTTTCCTTAGTCTCTCCTCCTCCACCACTTCATCCCTTGTAAGTGATATGACAGCCACACAGGGTACAGAAGGCAGCCACGTGAGTCTAAACAAGGTATGCTGGCTGCTTTGGTTTCCACTTCATCCAAGCTAAATTTCTATATAGCAGCTAAAAAAACCCCAGAGAAGCCAGTGGTTTGAGAAGATCAATGTTCTGCCATGCAGAGGCCCCATGCTCCACAGATGTCGGATTCATTTTGCTTCCCAGACTAGAGGGCAAGCACAGCACAAAGATGGAAATGAAGATGGGATTTGGGAGTGTACGCCATTCAGCAGCTTGCTGCTGGTATGTGGAGCGACTGATATCAAAGGTTTTGTAGGATGCATGTCACCAGCATTTCCTGCTTTGATGGGGAATGGTACAGGGCACAAAATGGGAAAATTGGGATTCTCTAGAATGAAATGTGAACACTGAAGCCACATTTGTATGGTAGGAAAACTAACAAGGGTGCCGTGAATAACTCTGGGATATTTAAAGTACTTCCTTGTAAGGGCTGAAGCAATATTTTTGAAATCTACCAGGTAGATTTCAGTATATAGATAAGAATATTTTCATTAGAGCTAACTTGGGGATTTTGTGGTAGTTTTGTCCTGCCTTTTCCTGCCAGAGGAATAGTGCCAGAGCTGCAGAGCCTGGAAGGAAGAGATGCAATGTGGAAGAAAGCGGGGAAGAAATTGTCAGATCAGGACCCAGAAGTTTTAAAAAATTTGCTACAGTCTCAGAATTTTTCTCAGGCTCTGTTTTTTTCAACACCATATATACGTTTTTAAATTCCCAAATTGGCATATGCATAATTTTGATCCACACACTCGAGTGAAGCCATTGAGGTACTAAAAATAGAGAAATGGCAATAGGTTGTGGTTGTCAAGTGTGTCCCAAGGAGTTAGCACGTGAAGATACACAGGCCAGTACATATTTACTAGACTGAGGAGGCTTGTCGTCTTCATCTATAACCTCTAAAGCACCCTATGCTTCCTAGTCTCCCTCCTGACTTATTGAAATCTTCCACTCCCTCCTACAGATCCTGCCTAACAACTGGACCCACCCCACCATAGCCCTTGGAGACCCTTCAGTGAGTCCAGATCTCTGTACAGTAGAACCTCAGAATTACAAACACTTTGGAAATGGCTGTTGTTCGTAACTCTGAAATGTTCATAACTGAACAAAATGTTATGGTTGCTCTTTCAAAAGTTTACAACTGAACATTGACTTAATACAGCTTTGAAAATTTACTATGAAGAAGAAAAATGTTGCTTTCCCATTATTTTATTTTTTAATAGTTTGTTTAACACAGTACAGTACTGTGTTTATTTATTTATTGTCTCTGCCGCTGCATAATTGCGTACTTCCAGTTCCAAATGAGGTGTGTGGTTGACTGTCAGTTTGTAACTCTGGTGTTCATAACTCTGAGGTTCTACTGTAGTTGACAGAGTGACCCATATAAATGGACACGAAATGAAGATTGGAGGCAACCCACTTGTCCAACACCTCCAACCATGTGGTTGAGGCCATGTGAAAGTACTGATTTTAGAGTGAAAAGCCACACACATAATTCCAACAGGACTTTGTATTAGGAGTGAGGTTAAGATACAGTTGAAAGTAGTGCTTGAGAGAAGCAGCAGACAGAATTTGGCTGAAGTCTTCAAAAAGAGGCATTTGTTTGCTGAAATGGGGCTACATGTGGGTAAGCTTTGCAACTTTGCTGTTTTACCCATTTTTGCTCACGGCAATGACAAGAACTAGTGAGGAGATCTGCAAAGGCACCTAACTCCCATTCATCTGTGCTTTTGGAAAATCCCCCCCATGGATTTATATTCTGTGTGTTTGTCCATTCATTATCCCAGAAAGGAATTAACTTAGTGTAGACCCTTCTTGGAAGCTGGGCCAATATAAGTGAGAAGTTCCACATAAGCCTCTGAGGGAATTAGTTCATTCCTTAAATAACGACAATTTAGAGAACTGTTTCTCTGGGCATGTCAAGGTCCCATACTGTGTGTGTGCTCTTCTGCTTTCAATTTTCTGGCTCAATTTCTGTTTTATAAATCTTGTTTTTAGGAAGATGTAAACAATGGAGAGTCTTCAGCAACAGTAGGTATGGAATGTGTTGCTCTTTATACTAGAAGATTTCTTGGGTGGTTGGGGAGGTTAGGGTGTTTAAACCTGGGGGAAGAAAAGCCCATTTTTCAAGCTGTCTGCCTGTTGTCAGAGAGACTTTAAGGAGATGTTTGAAGGTATCAGCTAAAGTGTATAGGAATCCCAGCTGCTCATCCACTTGTGTGGGATTCTGCAGGGATCTGTTTCATCAGTGCTGGTGTTCAATGTGCATGGAAGGCAGCTGGGGCAGATAATGAGAGACTGGGGGGTGGAAATATCATCAGCATGCAGATGACACACCTAGGAGTCTTTCCTTGAATCTGGACAGCAAATTGTGTTCCCCAGTGGCAGGCCAAGCATGGGATTGCAGCAGCATCCAAATAGAATGGAATTGACCATGAAACCGGAATTTGGCTACAGTCACTATTGATGGTCCTGCTAGTCAGGTGTCCCTGTCAACAGAACGGACACTGAGTTATTTCACACAGGCCACTGGTGACACTCAGTACCCACATGGGTCAGGTTTGAGCTAGTGACCTAGAGGTAAAAGCAAATGGACCCTTAAAATAAAGCTCTTGGTTCACGCACATATCTTTAGAAATAGAGAACAAGGGGAAATATAGAAGGCCAAAATGTCAAGTGCTTAGGAGACAGATGAGCTTTGCATAGGGATTGTTGGTAGTTCTGAGAAGGATGGAATTCTCTCCCTGAGTCTGCAGAATATCAGCAGCACCACTCCTCCGTAGGCTACATCTGCAGCCTCAGGGCTGAGCTAGTGGCCACTGCCACAACTCTGCACTTCTACTCCCTGGAAGACTCTGATCAGTGAATCTGCACTTTCGCAGGTCCCCTGATCATATCCCTTCCCTGCCCCCATAGTTAGAGATGCAGCAGAGCGCTGCTGTGAAGCACACAAGGGGAGCACAGGCCCTCTATGCAGCCTCTCTAAAATCTGCCCCCATGCTGTGAAAAGGGATCTTCGCACCTGTGCAGGAATGGTGCAGTTTGGCACAGGAAGTGTCACGAGAATACTTCCTAAACAATGTGTCTCCAAGTTCTCCCAATGGCTCCTTGCTAGTATTCATGAAATATTTTCAAAGGGGCCTTTGTTTTATAATGAAGTTTTCTTTTGTCAAAGTTAATGTTTTTCTTAGCATTGTGCCATTGCTTTGTGTTCAAAGAAAGAACTGTAAGAACTATGGCAAGAAGATAATGGGGTCAATTATGTTCCAGAAGGGGAAGGGACAACCAACGAGAAGGATGTGCAACCCTCTGACACCAAAAAATCAGCCTCTGGCTTCTCCAGAATCATAGCTGGACATACATGCTCACCAATCCTGGCATCTGCTCATGAAAATGGCTGTGTCTATCTATGGAGCATTGGGGTAACGTATTTGATTGTATTTTTGGATGGGGTTGGGGGTGAAAGAAGAAAATGCTCCACATGTTCAGCTTCTGGCTCTCACCTAACATATGAAGTTATAGGAGGGTTTTTTTCCACTGATCATTATTTCTATTAACACAATTTAGTGCTGCTTTTAACAGCTGTAGCAAAGGGAAAGAGGAAGGGGAACAGGAGGAAAATCATGGCTTAGAATAATTGTAGTGACAACTGTCTGAAAAGGTATGTAACTCCCTTGGGGTCCATCCTTTATCCACCTCCTCTGCCTTTTGAGACAGTGTGATGGCCAAAGCAGAGTCTGCTGCTCCACTTATAAGAGGAAATCTGCCCTGTTAACTGACTCTTTGAAAAATAATGTAGCAATAAGGGGCTGTGTACCTGTATAAACGAGTAGAGGGTCAGGTATGACTTGCATGTTGTGCAATCCGGTTGACGTCAATATGGGTTACAAGACAGGGAAGAGTTTGCCTCTAGGTGGCTAAATTAAGACATATTATTAAAAGGTTTTAGGGACTTCAGCGGTTTTAATTAACTGTGACATTGAACCCTCCAGGTATAATAAAGCAGCTCAATGTACGTTATTGGTATAAAATCTGACTAATATGGTTTGCTATTTACTTAATGCATGAAAAATCAAAGCAACAGAAAACTTTGCATCATGTTAACATGATGAAATTTCTGTTGCTTTGATTTTTTGTGTGGATAAAGTATAGAGGAAAGCAGAGTTTGTTTGTTTTAGGGAGATTTACTGAGAGAGGTTTTGCCCTTCACAAAGCATCCTGCAATTCCTCTGACTGCTCTGTGCACCGATATCTCTGCTAAAATGCTTTTAGCAGCCACCAAGGGTAAGTGATCGCTTCTCAATCACAGTTCTCCTGACTCTTTGTAGCGGTTGAAAAAGATTATCGTAAAAACATGCTGGGAATGTGGCAATGAAGGGCCAAAGCAAAACTGCATTAAAAATCAAGGACAGGGGAGTCTTCGGGAGTAAGGAATGCAGGTTAAAGCCAGAAGCTAACAACACTGCCAGTACGGAGGCAACTTTCAAGAGCAGTGTGTTATATTTTCTTTACACAAAGAACTCCCATATACTTAAGTATAGTCCCTCATTTTAGACTAAGGGCAAAGATTAACAATAAGAATAAGCAAAAGTCCCACATACTCCATAACCGGCTGCCGCAATTAAAAGCAAATTGACTGCTGTTGTTGCACACAGACAGAGGTAGTTCGTGGACAGTGAAAAGCTCAGTATACAATAGGGTTATCATTCGTCCGGATTTACCCGGACATGTCCTCCTTTTGTGTGCTAAAAATAGCGTCCGGGGGGAATTTGTAAAGCACTCACAATGTCCGGGATTTCCCCCTCCCCTGG